TCATATTTTTCTGTCTTAAAAGGCGCCTTCTGTGATGCTTACACCTCTAATGAAGTCTCACAAGTGTCAGCTTTGTTTTTATACATTGTTAAAAAAAAACTTAACAGTTTTTTTGTTTTACAAATGTGGCGGGGTGGGGGTGCGTGTGTGTGTGTGTGTGTGTGTGTGTGTGTGTGTGTGGTGGGGGGGGGTCATTTCCCGAGGGGGATGTAAGCTGGCAACATAAACAGGGATATGTGGTCCAACTGGCCCAGGCAGGTGATGGTGAGGCTTTGTAGTAGCTCTGTTTAATGTTGGAGCAGACTTTATCCTTTTCGCAGATGTAGCACAGTTTACATGCAAGTGAAATTTGGGGAACACTACTTTTAAGTCCACATGATTAAAGACGTCAGCTTTAATGTGTGCTGCTTCTTATTCATCTTTCTTATTCAGGTGGGTGTGAATGGCATTATGTAGAAGGCTAAGGGCTGAGTTAGATTTAGCATTGGAAGCTATATCTAGTGCCATGGTCAGAATAGCTTGAATCTCACGAGGAAGAAAAATCTCACAAACTCTAAGTCTGGAGAGCAGTGATTGTCCACAGTCTTAGTATTATTTGCTCATTTTTCATTAATATAAAGGGAAAGACCCCCACCTTGCTGTTGTTTCTTTGAGTTCTGGTTTCTGTATTGACAAGTACATTGGGTTTTGCTGGGTAAATCCTCTGCAGCAGTCCCCAGTGAGTCTATTATCTTCCAGCTGTAGCCTCAGCTCATCCCCTTTGTTAATAATCGTGGTTTGTGAGGAAAAGGCTGGGCAGCGTAGGTTTGTGCAGTGTTTTCTTTACCCTTTCTCACTCACCAGCTTGGCAGGCTCATTTTTGTTTCCTGTATCACTGCCTCTGCCTTCTATCCCAATTGATCCCAGGATCCTGACTTGGGAGATGACCTAAAACAGCGCTTGAGTGATACTTTTTGCCTAAATGCTCTGGCACTGCCTTGGGGTAGTCTGTGATCATTAAGTTGTTCTTTCTTTTTTTTTTCTTCTAGAAACCTTTCTTCTAGACACCAAAACATCAAAAATGGGTAATGAATTACCAAAGGAGAGTAACATGGGAAGCTCCCTGAGATGCTGCAAATGTTTTAAAGTCTTGCCTCCATGCAAATCATTTGATGACTTCTACAAAAGTACTATTCATGGGCGATACGTATATGTGTTCAATGGAGGTGAATACTACAGACCAGTTGGTTACGATGATGCATATGAGTGTGATTATTGCTTTAATAAGCCAATCAGAGATCAAGAGGAAATGAGAAGAGAAGAGGAGAGGAAGAGAAGAGAGGAGGAGAGGAGAAGAGAAGAGGAGAGAAGAAGAGAGGAGGAAAGGAGAAGAGAAGAGGAGAGAAGAAGAGAGGAGGAAAGGAGAAGAGAAGAGGAAAGACAGAGAAGAGAGGAAGAGTGGAGAAGAGAAGAGGAGAGAAGAAGAGAGGAGGAGAGGAGAAGAGAAGAGGAGAGGAGAAGAGAAGAGGAGAGAAGAAGAGAGGAGGAAAGGAACAGAAGGGAGGAGGAGTGGAGAAGAGAAGAGGAGAGGAGAAGGGAGGAGGAGAGGAAAAAAGAAGAGGAAAGAAAGAGAAGAGAGCAGGAGAGGAGAAGGGAAGAGGAGAGGAGAAGAGAGGAGGAGAGGAGAAGAGAAGAGGAAAGGAAGAGAAGAGAGGAGGAGTGGAGAAGGGAAGAGGAGAGGAGAGGAGAAGAGGAGAGGAGAAGAGAGGAGGAGAAGAGGAGAGGAGAGGAGCAACAGAAAGAAAAACTGAGTCAAAGACTAAAGGAATCTCACCAACAAGCTAAAGAGCAGCTTGAGAAACAATTGAGCAGCCACATCTTAGATGAATGTGAGTCCAAGCGAGATGTTCTAATAGGGTGTCTGGATGAATTTGCAGCTTACTGTGAATCAAGTAGTGACAGTGATGACCTTCTTGAAATCCTCTCAGTGAAATGCAGTCTCCCAGTTTCAAATCTCAATCTGAATCAGCTCAGTGAGATCCTTTCAGTCCTGGACAAACTTCTGTTTGATGAGTGGATTCGTGCTCCTCCATCCATCAGCACTCTGCAGCACACTCAGGTGTTCATCACAGAGCTCTGTGCTCTGTCTCTGGAAATATCTGAAGGAGTTTCCCTACAAACCATCTCCAATCATATGCAGTCCCTTTTGGTATCCATCAGCCAATCAGCATGTGGTGTTTTTGAGAGTTTCCTCTTGTCTCAAGCCCTGTATCTGAACCTGATGCATGTTTTAAATGACCGTGACAGATCTGATAATGATGCTGTCCTCATAGCCAAACAATGGGCAGAATATGAGATTTCCACTGAGAACCTCTTTATAATTGAATTCCTGAGCACCCTCACATCATCACTGCAGAGTGCAGTTGGAAGAGCCTCTGTGTTCACTTTAAAGATGGAAATCCAGTGTTTAAAGCTTCTCTTATCCACACTCACAGATCTAAATGGAAAAGAAGCCCACTCAAAATCCACTGAAATGCTCCTCAAACTTGTACAAAGAAACCAATGGACTCCAATGGAAGCAGTCACTCTGCTTAAAGCACTGTCACAGAAATATGCAGATGATGATTCCATAACTGAAATCCTTACCTTGGTACGAGTGTATGACATACCACCAGACTGGATAGATGACTGTGGGCACTCTCTAATCCAGCTCCTTGAATCTGCTGCTGCTGAGAGATTTTGTCAGGATTTACAAAAGACTCTAAGAGGAAACGATGAGAACAGTGTAACTGCAGTTCTAGCAGAAGTAAAGATGTTGTGGAATTTGGATGACTCTGTCATTGATATGATAAAAAACATTAACACTGGTGTCCTGAAATATACAGAAAATGTACCAAAAGAAGAAACTTTTATGAAAGATTCATTTAAATGTGAATCTTTGAATGCAGACAACATACAGAAATGTCTGTGTCAGCTCTGCAAAGCAGTATTTAATATAAAAGGCTGGTGGCCCACGGTGAGGCAGATGGTGCGGTGGTGTGGACTGGTGCTGACTCATAAAAGTGGAGTGGTACAACTGGTTGGTGTGGAAGAAGACCCATGTGTTACAGCCATGTTTGCAGCCATGCAAGTCTGCATGGGAAACAAACTGGACATTGTGCTGAGCTCCGATGTTCACTCAGAGGAGCAAACAAAGGAGTGGTCTGACTTCTACAAGCACCTTGACATTTCACTTAACACAAACATGAAGAAGACTGACCCATCATTCCAGGATGTCTATGAAGCAGACATTGTTTATGGTACAATGGATGATTTTGTGTCAGATTATGTTCAACGTGGCATAGAGGCAATGGAAACGGGGCATACACAGTTTAGTCGTGGATTTATTATTGAAAAACAAAGTCTCAGTGTTCTGCATGCTCTGGAGCTTTCAAGACTCAAAGACGATGACTCCCTGGTGTTTGCTGCGGAGGTCCTGCAGAACCTCATGAGTAAATTTCACAGTGAAGATGTGGGACTGAAACACATGTTCATTAAGGCCCTTTTTCAGGTGCTCCACAGCAATCTAAACCAAGATACAACCACTGACACAAAAATCATCACCATCTCAAAGAAAATCACCGGGAAGAAAATGCTTTCTAATGAGATCTTTATTTTGACTTTTCTTGAAAATCTCTTGCAAGTGTTTGCTAGAGAAACAGAAGCTGTTAAAAACATGACAGATCCTGCAGGCAAATGTTGTTTGGAGAATTTATTTGCCTGCGTGGAACAATTCCAAGACTTAGACAAAGAAACCAAAGAAGTCTTCAAGATGGTTTCAAATCTTGGGGAACAAAGACTTTGGTCACCAGTAGAGGTCTTAAACCTTCTTGGAACATTAACTGACCACCACTATGATCAAAACTGTATTTTCATCATGAAGATTTTACATTTGATGGAAACATATCAGGTTTCCTCTAAGTGGAAAGATGAAAACAATAAATCTCTCCTTGAGCTCATAGAGTCATGCACAACTAAGAATCTGATCCAGCATCTAGAAAAGAGCCTTAAAGATGAGAAAACTAAAAGCATTGACAACCTTTTTTATGAAATACAGCAGATGAAAGAAATTGATGAACAAACACTGAGTAAATCATACAACATAGTAACTCATGTAACAAACTTAATCAAAACTGGTGAAATTAAAAAACACAGAGACATACAGCGAGCTAGGACTCTGAGTCACAGCATGGAGGTTGGGGATTTACAGCAGGTCCTTGCAGTCTTATGCAATGCTGTACACCTCCACAAAGCTGAAAGGAAGTGGTTTCCCAGGACAACTCAGATGATAAGCTGGTGCCTGTTGGCCTTGTCTGACACTGGGAAGCTCCTGGAGATGGGAACTGGAGAAGGGAAGTCTTGTGTCATAGCGATGTTTGCAGTGCTGCGTGTGCTTAGAGGTGAAAAGGTGGATGTGGTGTCCAGCTCTTCTGTGTTATGCCAAAGAGATGCTGAAGAATGGGCAGAATTTTACAAATACTTTGGCATTACAGTCGACACAAACACAAATAAAAATGAGGATAAAGATCGGAAAGAATGCTATCAGAAGGACGTGGTGTATGGAACCATTGAAGCCTTTGCTGCTGATCACCTTCGCCAAATATTTGAGATGAAGGATGTGAGGGCTGATCGTAACTTTCAGTGCATCATTATCGATGAAGTGGACTCACTGCTGCTGGATCAGGGAGTGCAGCTGACATACCTGTCCAGCCCCATGGTCTCCATGCAGCACCTGAACATTATTCTCACCATGATCTGGAGCCACGTCAGTCAGTATGGCTTCCTATCTACAGGACATCAGACATTTGTACGAGGTCCTCCTGCTTCATTCTTCAAGGCCATCTATGACTCAATGAACACAGAAGACACTGAAATTAATGATCCAATGGACATTTTAACTATTGCTGAAGAATCCAACATTGTGCCAAAAGGATTTTCAGAAGAAATCTACAAAATGAAAAAAGATGAAATTCTCAGTAAACTGAAAACAGTGAGTCAGGATGCTATGGTTGACTTTTTCAAAGAAATTGAGGACTATGTCCCCTATGGCTTTACTGTTTACACGCTAGATGACAAGAGACTACTCTGTCTTCAAAAGTGCAGTCCATATAATGACCGGGACATCCCAGAGCTTTCATTTCTTGTGCTGGAGGAAGGATTGTGTTGTCCTCTCTATGAGTCAGAAGAAGTTCTCGTCAAGCCCATTGCAGAATTGATCTCTGAGAGGATTCAGTACACCCCATGTGAAAACAATACAGAAAAAATCAGCATTCCTGGATTCTTGAAGACTCTGGTGGAGAAGAAAGTCTCAGTGTGGGTTCAGAATGCCTTTCTGGCAATGTTACTGAAAGAAGGACGTGAATATGTCGTAGAAAATGACAACGTCTGTCCAGTGGACTTCAGATCCACTGGTATTGTTGAACTGAATAAGAAATGGGGTGATGGTCTGCAGCAGTTTGTGGAGATTAAACACCAAGTCAAACTGAGCACAATTTCAACAGTGACAAACTACATTTCCAACGTTTCGTTTTTTGAGAAATACCAGGGGAAAATATACGGAACAACAGGAACACTGGGGAGCAAAGCAGACATTCAGTTTTTGCAGGACCTGTATCCAAATCTCTCTGTGTGCAAAATGTCAACATTCAACAGGAAAAAGTTATTTGAGGTCAAAGGTACTCTGAAAAAAACAGCTGAAGAATGGAAATCTGAAATAAAAGATGTGGTCACAGCTCAGATTTCCCCAAATTCATACAGAGAAGGAAGAGCAGCGTTGGTGATCTGTGAAACTATCAACAAAGCCAACGAGATCTACGAAGAGCTGAAGAGCTGCATCCCAAATAAAAAATTGATTCTTTACTGCCGCAGTGACAGAGACAGTTTGAGTAAAATAGACAAGGAGCTGCTTCCTGGTGATGTCATTGTTGCCACAAACCTTGCCGGCCGTGGCACAGACATAAAAGTGTCCCCAAAGGTGAACAATAATGGAGGGTTATTTGTGATCCTCTCCTTCCTTTCTGAAAATACGAGGGTGGAACTCCAGGCTTTTGGACGAACTGCACGCAAAGGTAAACCTGGATCTGCTCAGATAATCATTTCCACCGAACACCTGCAGCCATCTTTCAGCACAGTGTCCTCTCTGGAGGAAGCCAAGAGCACAAGAGACAGACTTGCAGCAGAAAAGATAAAACACATGATGAACGATGTTGCTGAGATGAAACTGCGGGAGGACCTTTTTTCAGAATACTGTGAAACACTACAAGATATTTATGACACCACTGATGGAGACGAGGAAAGAGCTGTTGTTGCCATCATGAATGAGTTCTGGGGGATTTGGCTGCAAACTAAATCAGAAGAAATTGATCAGTTGAAAAGAAATGAACTGCAAGAGAGTCTGAAAGCTGATTTGTCAAAGGCAAAAAGTCAGTCTGAAAGTCAGACTTCACCAAGTTCCAGCATTTATCACTATATCAAGTTTGGAAATATTGCACTGGATGAAAAAAAGTGGGATATTGCAGCCAGACTGTTTGAAAAAGCCATGAAACAGGATGAAAGCTGGGCAGCTGTAGCTTTTTACAATCATGCATACTGTAGCCTACTATACAACAAAAGAAATCAGATTACCTCACTAAGGCCATAGATGATCTAACAAAGGCACAGGAATCTTTGAAGTTTCTTAATGAGGAACTAATAGTCTGTCTTCAGTTTGTAAAAATGTCCTCTGCAGACTCAGCCAACAGCAACACAACCAGCCTGGAAAAACAGTTATCAACCAGGTCCACAATGTATAGTTACTTTGAAAAAAACATTACTGAGGCCATCCAAAAGTTACGAGAAATAAGAGAGAAAGGGAGGGATGCAATGGCCCCAAAATCCCCAATGTTCTCACTATTTTCAGATGCTGATAAAGATCTCCAAGATGAAGCTTACAATCTCTACAGACGAGGTCTGAAATATGTATTTTCTGTGGAAGAAAAGCCTCGTTTCTCATGGGAAGGTCTGCTGGTGTTCTTTCTTGGAGTTTTACAGATTGTTGGAGGAGCACTGCTCATTGCATTTACATTTGGAACATTTGCTCAAGTTGGAATGGGACTGATTATTGAGGGAATATCAGACTGCATCACTGGCATTGAGGCCATGGTGACAGGAGAATTCAGCTGGAAGTCATAGGCTATAGAAAAAGCCATTTCTATTGGTGTCCCTCTCATTGGGTTTGGAGTTGGAAAGCTGATTTCAAAGGGCTTCAAATGTTTTAAATCCTTAGTTAAATTTGGCAAACAGCTTAAGTCAATGCCAAAATTTCTCTCTAGACAAGCTAAAGATGGCTTCAGTACTGTTTTAAAGACAAATATGAGGAATGCAGTAAAACACACAGCTAAAAAAATTGCAGAAGAACTCATCACCTTTGGATTGGGAAAGGCAGAAGATGAAATAATTAAAAAAATATTAGAAGAAATCGAAAGCAAGGTGAAAGAGAGAACTGATCATGATGTGAAATTAAAAATAGAAAAAGAGCCGTCATCTTCATTAGTAGACCTCATTATTCTTTCACAACTTGAGGACAAAAAACAACTTCATGATCTCCTGAATGACGAGAGAAGAAAGGAAGAGCTGCTGGCCGTTTTCACAGACTTAAGCAAAACTGCAATACAGCCATTCTATGCAGACCTCAGCTGGCAGAACAAACTGAATTCATCCCTCTACAAAGTGATTGAAAAAGCTAAATCACACACTGGAGGAACAGCAAAAGCAATTCTGACAGTTATACAAGGTGTCCACATGGTCACACTGGCAGGAGAAGCCATCAGTGCAGTGCTCAGCCTGTCAGACAAATTCTTTTCAAATTTTCATGAACAGCTGAAAATATTTAAAGAAAAGCAACGAAAATCAGAGACTGTGAATGTAAGTGATCTGTCTGCAGAAGACATTAAACTGCTGAAAGATTTCAAGCAGGATTTAGGCAGCACCATCAGTACGTTATTGGCTGATGCTTTGGTGGAAGTTTTCCACCAGAAGTTCTCCAGTCACATGTTTTCTATTGTTAAAGACAAGGCAAATGGTGTTATTGGTAAATATGTGAGAAAGGGTTTAAAGAGTGAAAGAACAGAGGAAAAGCTCAGAGCTGGACAGGACAACAGATACATTGCATACATGCCAAAACACCCAAATTCTAACCTAAAAGTTGAAGGAGAGGCAGGTCAACGCTCACGATCACATGCTGAAAAGATCAAGAACTCCACGACTGCAGGCACCATCCTTGATATCAGAGTCCTGTCAGAAGCCACTGGCACTAAAGTTGTCATCCTAACAGAGGACAGCAATGGAAGACTTACCAAAATGCAGGAGCTGAGCCCAGACACTCGACATGCCAGTCAAACTGTGACCCTGATCTACAGACCAAAGAGTGACCAATACCCCGATGGCCATTATGATGTGTACATCAACAACCAGACAGTGAGCATAGACAACAAAGGCAAGAGCTGTCTGTTTTCTGCTTGGGCACGTGGAATAAAACCACAAGCCAGTGAAGAAGAGATCACTGTGGAAGCAAATCGTCTTCGATCTGTGGAGGCTGATGCTCTCCTCAGTTACCCAGGCCAATGGGAGCCTTTCATCAAGCGGAAAGAATTAACTGAAACAATCAGGGGAGGGGACTGGTACATGTTAGAGGGAACTGCACCCAAACAAGCCATAAAAGAAAGCAAAGAGTTACGTCAGAAATTAGTTGGCCAAGTAGAAAAATACAAAAACTGGCAAACACATGCAAAAGGAAATAAAGGAATTGGAAAGTTCATCAATGCAGATCACCAGCCACCAGTCAGTAGCATATTGAAGGCCAGAAAATTGAACCAGAATAGCAGATTAGCAGAAGCCATGCTTGAAGTGGCAACAAACTCATCTACTGGGAACATTTCTGATGTACACAAATATCATGGCCGTGAACTTCCAACAGTTTATGTGCCTGCAGAAGTACATCGTGAATTTCCCAGTACAAAATCACCAGCCTTCAGAGACCTCTTGGCTGCAGCCATAAGTAGTAATGATGTTGTGGGTACTTTCAAGCTGACAATCCTTGGTTCAATGCCAAGATTCTGGTTGGATAGTAGCAGGAACTTCAAAAACTTCCAGAATACAAATATAAGCAAAAGCAGACTTAAAGATTTTGAAAAAAGTTTTCCACACCACAGTGAAAAGATGGTAAAGGAATGGTCTGACCAGCTTAAAAACAAAGGTGTTATGACAGATGACCATCTAACTACTATTAATAATTGGATCGCTAACCAGGGCTACAAAGATCAAAACGATCCACACAGGAAAGAAGTTGCCAACCTCCTCTGATGAAAAGGTAACATCAAATTTTACATCATATTATATGTGATTCATAATGAAAGGGATGGGAGGTACCTGGAGTAGCATGCATTGTGGTAAGCATCTGACCAGAGTGGATTTCTGTTTTCTTTTCAGTTTGCGAGAGAGGAGAATGTGACTCTTACAAGCAAATGAAGTACAGTGAAAACCTGGAGATCTTCCACCTGCCTAATCATCATTATCAGATATCTCTGTGCCTTGGTTTAATTTTAACTTAATTTTTGTATTCAGTGTGCTTATCACAGAAAAAAACTGTTTGTTTAGCCATTTTTAGCTCAGTATAGATTGTAAATTAATTTGTTAACTTGCTTAGACTTTGTAGCAAAGCAATAATTACACTGTGTCCAGCAAATTAGTGTGGTGATATTAGATGTGATAGTTTTAATCTTTCAATACCAATGTTGACAATAACAAAAAGGGAAGATTTTAAAACCTGAGACCTGTTGACATTTGTCACCTTTTAACTCAATGTTCAAATATATGAACAGCTGAAATTGGTCACACATGTTCTGACTCCTTAGCCAGTGCACAAAGAGGACACAAAAATGCAGCAACAAAGTGTGTCTTAAAGTACATTAATAATCACTCTCAAAGGCTTCTAAATCATTAACTCCAGAGTGCCTGAGGGTCCTCCAGTGTTCAAGAGATAAACTACACATGTGTTATATTAAGATCTAGCAGCTTGATTTTCTTTTCTGTTGGTTGGAGCACAAGGTGACTGCTGATTCTGCAAGAGCCTGACTGTGAAAGAAGCTCTGGAGATAAAGAAACTGCTTGCAATGAATCACAGAAGCTACAGAAAAAAACCTGCATGTAGTTCTCTGTAAGCAGCATCCCATTCGTTATCTGTTTAATTCAGTGTAACTATGATGGTGGTGGCGAGGGAGGTTAACAATGAAATTATAATACATATTATCTGTATTCACCTGAAAACCATATATCCATATCTCTAAAATATTTCTGTCAAAATAAAAGTGAGTTAGTAGTAATAATTGCAGTGATTTCCTGTTTTCTTCCAGTGGTGCAGATTACTGTAAACTGTAGTAATTTCCCTTACTACTATGGAAATGTTTTTACACAATACTGGACAATAAAACTGCAGGGAAATGTACCAATATGATATTACATATTTTAAAAGTTTATTTAAATATATTTAAAACATATTGGTGAAAATATGGCCTATAAACATAATTGGCCACTGTTATGAAATTCTGGATTAAATTGAATTACACACAAGCTGGTTGTCTTTGTGAGTTTTTAATTTGTCTTTGCAAAGTGGTCAGAACAACAATACAAATTTAATCAAGATTCAATCAACCAGGTTCAATCAAAGTTATCACTCTGTGTCATATGGAAACCATGCTGCTGTTTTTAGATGGAATAGGCACCGTTAGTGTGAAGCAACAGTTATAAGAAAAAAAAAACAGAGACAAAATGTCAGGTTTACGGAAAATTGAACCCAAACACAGGACTTCCTAATTACTAAGTTAAACTTTCAGTCTATTTTATTTCATTATTTATTTGTGCAATATCCAGATCGCGGCTGTGGGTGGGATTAAGGGGCCTCTTCCTGTAGTTGAAATTCATGGCATGCTAGTGGTACCAGTCTCTCTCTGATCTCTAGCTTCAGCCGGGGTGGAGTGAGGCAGTGTCGCAGTTCCCAAATAGTTGTTTCTCATCCGTCAGGTTAAAGCTGGCCCAACCCGGGGTAGCGGTCATGTCCGGTTAGGGGCTCTGTTGGCTCTCAGGTGACTGTTTCCTCGCGGCTGCGTGCAGCGGGGCTAGGGGAGGGTCTGTGCTGACGGACGTGGGTTACTGACCTGGTAGCCTGGCTGCCCCTGGGTGGGTCCGGGATGGGCGTGAGGTTCTGGGGGCGCTCCGTCTCTGGGCTGGGGCCCGGGCCGGGCCTCGGGGGCTTGGGTCCTGGTTGGTGTGTTGGTTGTGGGCGGGTGGGTGCATGGGGGCCCAGCCCTGGAGCAGGGTGCCGCCGGTGCATCGAGCCACCTGGGGGGCTCTTCAACTGGTGGGGAAGATTGTCACATCTCGCAGGAGCTTTCCTCTCCTCAGAGGAGGCTACCACCCCCCCTGTCCCCTTCTGGCTGCCTCTGCCTCAATTTTATCCCACAACTTAGACATTCACATTACTCACACTCTCATTACACATACATATAGGATCTTGGGGGTGGGCACGATACACGGAATCCAAAGTACCATCAGGGTGTACACCCCACCCCTGGCGCCGTTGCCCACCTCTCAATGTTAAATACACGTAGACATTGAGGGCTAGCAGGAGGGACCATGCGCTCACCTGCTGCTCTCTGGCAGGTAGCTCCATGCCCTCCTGGGTTTTAAATGCACCTTAGAACACACATGCATCAACACTACAATGAGCGGGTGGAGGGAGGTTTGGAGTCTTCTCTCACCCCCATTCTCTGCGACCTGCTGGAGCGGGGGGGCTAGGAGGAGGAGTTGGCCGTCCGACTGCGGTCTGGAGTGTGGGGCCTCCCTGCTGCTGCGGAGTCGGGGCGGTCTGCCTCCCCCCACCGCAGGGAAAAGGGTAACACCACCTGGGTCTGGGTGCAGTTCCCCCCTCCAGGGGCAAGGGTACCTAGACCCGGTTTGTAGAGTACGCTTGGGGAGTGTGATCGTGTGTACAGCGTCTCTTTATGTCTGTCTCCACGTTGGTTGAGTGTGGAGTAAGTGCATATGAGAGCATGAGGGTGGGAATGGATGTTTGTATCTGTGTGTGCCTGTATTTCTGTGTCTATATGTCAGGTTGGGTATCAGGCGCCACCTCTCTGGGGACATCTTAGGCCCTCCAAGGTTTGGAGACTTATCTCCCCCCACCACTTTCCCTACCAGTGGCAGACCCCCTCAGACATCGGTGCGTTGGTGGTTCTTTGTGTCCGGGGATGGGTGTCCAGGTACACACCGGCTCACTCCTTGGCGGCCGCTTATCGGGGCCTGGAGCCTGGGGCTCGCTCGGGCCACTTCGGAGGTGGGGTGCCCCAGCCTCTCGGCCTGGGGCTCGGTCACTCAGGCATGGCTGGCAACCCCCCCTGGCTTCTGCTCCGCGGCTGCTGAGTGACCCCTCATCTGGGACTCTCCTCAGCTCTTTCTGGGACAGTGGCGCGGCTGCCCCTCTGTTGGTCTTCCTTGGTCTCTTGTGTTCTGGGGGCCTCTGGATGTCTGGAGTTTTGATCTCCTCCATACCTGCTTCATGCCCTGGAGGACGGGGCTGTGGCCCCCCCACACCCTCTAGCAGATCATTACATGAAGGAACCTTTTGAAAAAACAAAAAACAAGCGCGTCCATGCTCACAGGTGTACACACGGGTGATCACACCCACAAACTACACCCTTTTTGGCTCCTACCTCAAAGCACACTGTGTTCTGTTGATCTTATGTGCTGCACAATAATGTTTAATATTTAGTATTTACTGTCATATTCCCATATATCATTGTGATGTTGTTTATTCTATTACTCTCGTTCTCTTCTGCTTGTTTTCTTTTTTCTTTCTCAGCAGGTGATCCAGGTGATTGATATATGCATTTTTTTCTTTTTTTTTCTGCTCATTCTGTTGGTTTTTGTCTTTTGCCCTTCTCCCCCGTCCCTCTTCTCAGCTGTTTCTCTTTCCCTCTTTCTTTCTCCCCTTCTTTCCCCCAGTCAAGTCTGTCCCGTATTCAGTAAGTGAAAATAAAATAAACAATAAAAGGTGAATCAAATGGACCATTACGGCAAGGCTCTCTGTACCTTTGGTTTAATTTTAACTTAATTTTTGTGCTTATCACAGAAAAAAAAAAGAAAGTCCTAACTGCTTGTTTAGCCATTATAGCTTAATGTAGATTGCTTATGACAGGTTTTGTTTTTTGTTGCGCACAAAGAGCACACTAAAATGATGCAACAAAGTATTTCTTGTAGTAAATTACTAATCACTCTGAAAGGCTTCTAAATCATCCACAGAGTACCTGAGTGCCCCCTAGTGTTTTTAAGAGACAAACTACACATGTGTCATATTAAGATCTAGCAGCTTGATTTTCTTTTTTGTTGGTTGGAGCACAAGGTGACAGCTGGAGTAATTCTGCAGAGCCTGACTGTGAAAGGAGCTCTGGAGATAAAGAAACTGCTTTTGATGAATCACAGAAGCTACAGGAAAAAAAAACCTGCATGTAGTTCACTGTCAGCAGCATCCTATTCGTTATCATGCAAACGGTGTATAATTTTTGTTTAATTCAGTGTAACTATGAAGGTGGTAGTGGGGGGGGGGTTAACAGTGAAATTATAAAATATATTATCTCTATGGAAATGTTTTTACACAATAGTGGACAATAAAACTGCAGGTAAATGTACCAATACGATATTACATACTTTAAAAGTTTATCTAAATATATTTAAAACATATTGGTGAAAACGGCCTATAAACATAATTGGCCACTGTTATGAACATTCTGAAATAAATAGAATTACACACAAGCTGGTTGTCTTTGTGAGTTTTTAATTTGTCTTTGCAAAGTGGTCAGAGCAACAATACAAATTTAATCAAGATTCAATCAACCAGGTTCATTCAAAGTCATCACTCTGTGTCATATGGAAACCATGTTGCTGTTTTTAGATGGAATAGGCACCGTTAGTGTGAAGCAACTAAGAAACAAATGTCAGGTTTACGGAAAATTGGACCCAAACACAGGGCTTCCTGATTACTCAGTTAAATTTTCAGTCTATTTCATTTCATTATTTATTTGTGTTCTATCCATATCCTGGCTGTGGGTGGGATTCAGGGGCCTCTTCCTGTAATTGAATCTAATGGCATGCTAGGTTCGAGTCTCTCTCTGATCTCTGCCTTCACCCGGGGCGGGGGGTGGTGTTGTGTCAAAGCCCCCCAATGGTTGTTTCCCATTCGTCAGGTTAAAGCCGGCCTCCCCCACTCTCTCACTGGCCGATGTTAGGGCCTTCCTCTCTTTTAATTACTATATTGGCCATAAGTCTGTTAGGGTGCCTGGCTCATTGACCCAGTGTTTTGTGTTTTTGGTTCTTTGATTTTGTTTATTTCATTATATTCTAGCTTTGTCTTATGGGTTATAGGATTATTCTTAGTTTAGATTCTCTGTGTGGGTTTTCTTAGACTTTTAGTGTTTTGGTTTTCTTTCTGTGATCCATAGTTGCTGCCTCCTCTGTCTGCTGTATCCCCGTGTCAAGTGCGAGTTTCTGTGTTATGTTTTCTGTTTTACTTTGAAAGAGCTGCTGGCCGTTTTCACAGAGTTAAGCAAAACTGCAATACAGCCATTCCATGAAGACCTCAGCTGGCAGAACAAACTGAATTCATCCCTCTACACAGTGATTGAAAAAACTAAATCACACACTGGAGGAACAGCAAAAGCAATTCTGGAAAAGTCATAAAAGAAAGCAAAAAGTTACATCAGGAAGAAGTTGGAAAAGTGAAATTATGCAAAGAATGGAAAACATATGCAATAAAAAAATAAAGGAATTGGGCATTTCATCAATGCAGATCACCAGCCACCAGTCAGTAGCATATTGATGGCCAGAAAATTGAACCAGAATAGCAGATTAGCAGAAGCCATGCTTGAAATGGCAACAAACTCAATTACTGGGAACATTTCTGATGTACACAAATATCATGGCGGTGAACGCCCAATCATTTACGTGCCTAAAGAAATACATTGTGAATTTCCCAGTACAACATCACAAACACACTTGGCCAACACAATAAGTAAAGATGATATTGTGGGAACCTTCAAGCTGACGATCCTTGGTGCAATGCCAACATTCTGGTTGGATAGTGAAAAGGACTTGAAAAACTTTCAGAACAACCCAATGAGTAAAACCAGGCTTGACACCTTCGAAAACAGTTTTCAGAAACACAGCACAGAGATGGTAAAGACATGGTTTTCTCTGCTTCAAAACAAAGGTGTCATGAGAAATGACCATCTAACTACCATTACTGAGTGGATCAATAACCAGGGCTACAAAGATCAAAATGATCCACACAGGAATAAAGTCACCAACCTCCTGTGAAGAAAAGGTAAAATTACATTTAATATGATAATTTAAAAAAAAACAAACTAACATATTTTCATCATTTACATAAGATTCCTAATGAAAAGGAGGAGTAGAATGGCATACATTTGAGTGTATTTGTGTTTTCTTAACATTTCAGTTTCTAAGGCCTGAGATTGTGACTCTTACAAGCAAATCAAGAGTGGAAATT